GCGGGGAGGGGGATGCTCTAATGTGCCCGGGGGGGGGGTGCGGGGTGCTGTCCGAGATGGAATGTAGGCCAGGTGGGGCCTGTGGGTGTGATCCTGAATGGGGAAGAGGTTGGATACCAAGCTAGATGGGTTCACCACTCTGCTCAGGGCAGCAGGGATCTGAGATTGGTACAAGGGGCTGAGCCAGGACAGAGGCAGATACTGGGCTAAATAGGCAGCTGCTTTCCTCTCTACGTGTAGCTGGTGAAGTGGTGCGTGCCATTCTCTGCCCAGCGCCCAAGTTCCCCGAAGGTGGCTTTTGGAGCTGGGTAGCAGCAGCGCCAGTCAGAGACAGCAGCAGCATTGTGCGCTAGGAAGAGGTTAACCAGAAAGGGGAAATGCTGACCAGTGCTGGCCTACTCATGCACAGCTCCTGCCTCCCTTTCTCCTCCCCTGGGCTTTTCCTACTCTGCCCCATGGCCTCTTCCTCCCGAACCCTTTCCTCCACAGACAGGAATTTCATTCTCCCAGTGTGGCAAATGCCACTGAGGACAAAGGGACCCAGGGAGTAGAAGCTAAGGGGATCTTCCCACAAAGTCCTTCTGTATTAACTTCTGTGTCTCTGGTGTTTGCAATTAACTCCTTCCCATCCGTGATGTAAAACACTTCATAAAAGGCAATCCCCACAGTGCTCGTGTTACAGTAGTGCCAACCAGCGCTGCCCGGGCACATAGCTAGAGACAGTCCCTGCCCCCTGCTGAAATCAGAGCCCTGTGGTGCCATGTACTGCCCTCCCAGTGAGAGGCAGACCCTTCCCCAAAGAGTTTGCCATGAGACAGAGGATAGGAAGAGGTGCTGATGAGTGTCCCTCTAAGATTTTCCTCCCATGAGCAGAGTGAGTTTTGTCTTGTGCACCAGTATTGAGTTCATGTGCAGTTGTTGTTTATAAACTTCTCCCTTTTCCCCTCTGCTGCTGTGTCTCCTACTCTCCCCTCGCCTCATCTGCTCCCCTTGGGCTGCTCCCCCATTCTCCTCTGCTGTCCTGGCTCCTGCCCTTCTCATTTCCCTCAGCTCTTTGGGGACCTGTCCCCTCCCTGTCCTCTCTGACCCCTGTGCCCGCCCCTCTCTTCCCTCTGTGCCCACCCCTCCTCTAGCCCCACTCTGATCATCTGTAGCTACCTCTCCCCATCCCCTCTCCTAACACTTCCCTCTGCCCACCTGCCTTGCCCCTCTCCTCTGCCCGCTGGTGCCCATCCCTCCTCTCCACTCCCCTCCCTGTGTCTGCCCTTCTGCTTCACCCCCACAATCTCCCGGGCACCTACATCTACCCTTAGCCTTGCAGCTTCCTGGTGCCTCCCCCTGCCTTCCTTGCCCTCTTTTTCTCTGGTGCCCACCCCCTCATACTCCTGACCCAGTTTTCCTCATGCCCCTCTGTCCCCTCACACATGACTTGCTCCATCCCCTGCCTTGCTCATGCCCATCCCTCCTTTCAACACCTCGTCTCCCAGCACCCACTCCTCCTCTCTCCTCTTCCTCCCTCTCCTCTTTCTTCCCTCTCCTCTCCTAGCATCACCCTGTCCCCTTCCTTCTCCCACCCCCACTGACTTTTTCCTCATTGTCTACTATTGACCCCCTGGCATTGTCTCCTCCACCCTGCCCCTTGGTGCCTTCCTCTTTCTTCTCCTGCCCTGCCCCTCCTCTCCCCTCAGCACAAGCCCCTTCTTCTGCTCATCTCACCTCACCTTTAGTTTTCCCCCTGCCCCTTCCCTCACCACCTGCCTTTGATGTGGAAAGCAGTTTGCGGGGGCCACGGTGCTATTTTTAGTACTGTGGTCTGACCCCAGAAGCCACCGCAGCCCCGGCCCCAGCTGCTCCTGGGGCAGGACCATGTGCTGAGACTGGAGCAGAGGCCGCCCGCAGTGCTATTTTTAGTACCGCAGTCCTGGTCCCCACGGGACCTTGGTATTAAAAATAGCACTGCAGGTCACCCCAGCTCTAGTTGGAATAAAACAGCAGCCACATGGGGCCAGTTCCATCTGGGACAGCCTCACCAAAACAGGTTCATTTGGCGCACTCCAGCTCCAGGCGGAGCAAAAGGGCAGCTGCCTGCTGCCAGGAACCCACCAGGGCACCAGCTGTTGCTGCTGCTGCCCCCACTTCTCTTCCATTACAGCAGGAAGGTGACCAGTGAGTGCTGCTGCGTAGCTCTTAAAATGGCATGGGTGGAGCTAAATTTTTTGTGCACAGGTGCACAGGTGCACAGCTTAAAGGGAACACTGCTGCTAATGTATGCAGAGCAAGTGACTAGGCCTTTGGCAGAGGTGGGCATGGTACCCAGGTGTCCTGACTTCCTGTCGCAGCACAAGCCATCATTCATTACTATGTAGCAACACTCCCAACTGGCATAAGATAAGTCTTTCTGTCCCCCAACCCCAAATCTTCCGAAGCTTCTTTTCTCCCTGCTGCCTGTTTCTCAAATCTACTGGCTCCCTCCTGGCTTGGCTGCCAGCAGGGGGCATGAGAGTCAGAATCCAGCTTCACCGCTGGCACTAGAAAGGGGTTTCTGCTTTGCTTTTTGCTGCTGATTGTGCTCTGATCCTCAGATATCCTGCCTGTTTTGAGGTTCAGAGAGCAGCCCTCGAGGTGCTGGAATTCCATGACCTAATAGTAATTAGTAATTAGCCAGGTAATGACTCTGATCCTGCTGTGCTGCTCCACAGTTATGTCCCTGAGACTAGTGCATCTGAGCAGTGCCCCAGCCCCCTGCCGCGAGGGGACAGCAGAGGAGACTGGCGCACAGCTGTGCTGCATAGCTCACCACAGATGAGCCAGACAGGGCTGGGAGTCAGGATTCCTGGGTTCTGTCTTACAGGGCAAATCCATCTTTTCCCCTCCACCCCCACTCCATAGACTGGAGATGCAGCAATGCAAAAGAGCTCAATGGTGGGCAAAATATTGCCATGTCTGGAGATGCTTTTCCAGCAGCCTCAGTCTTGGGGGGCCTCCCTCAGGAGAGCTATGCCTGGGGCCCCTGATCCGAAAGGAGCGGTCTTCTATAATTTCCCATCACCCCACTCGGGGGGTCTCCCTTCAGTGGCCTGACTGCCCCCACTGCCCTTATGCTAGAGCCGACCTGCCTCTTGCACTGTCGAGCTCACTGGTTGGAGCATTGTGTGGATGAGGGGTGCTGGTTGGGTGGCTGCTCTGGTGCAGGTACTGTCACGCTACTGGAAGGCAGCTACTGCCGAGGGAGGGACTGGACTGGACTGCACTGCACTGCTTGGAAGGGAGGGGGGTGCTGGCTAGATGGGGAGACCGAGACTCTAGAAGCCATAGGGAGAGGGGAGCAGAAGAGCAAGATTAGTTGTGGCAAAGGGCTTGGCATTGTTGGGAGCTTGGAGGCTGAGGTCAGAGATTCGGCTGGAGGGTTCTAGAGAACAGGGCCATGCAGATTTATAGCCAAATCACCTGCCTTTGGTTCTTTTCTGGAGTATGGAGCTTCTGGCTCCACTTCACCCTTATCGGAGATGTAAGATTTGCTCATATGAAAAGTGTGTCCACTTAAACCTGACTGCTGCTCCAGATCTCGCCACGGCAGGAGTCAGACACTGCAGCCGTGAAGTTTGGAAGCCTGGGCTGAAGATTTGTTGCTAGATAAGTGGAAAAAGAGACGTCTGGTCTCTTCTCTATTGATGGCACCGAATGCCAGTGTGGCAGGGCTCAGTCAGTAGAGCCCTGAGTGAATATAAAATTTGTATCCTCATCCCTATCTGCAAAAATGAACCACAGATATCTGCAAATTAGCAGGGTTCTGGATACAAAATTTGTATCTGCATCCACAGCTCGTTTTTGTGGATATCCGCACCCATATCCGTGGATGCAGATATCTGCAGATACAAAGCGGACAGCCGCAGATTTGCAGGGCTTTATCAATCAGTGGCAAAATACCTTGCTGGCAGGGTTACCCAGCGTAGCCACAATTCAATTTTTTTGTCCTGTGCTAGTGAGGTGTTTAAATTGCCAAACGCTTAGTGCCAGTTTGAATGCCCAGTTAGGCCAGCATGCTGTTTATAGTCCCTACCCATATAGTACAGTTGGCTTTAAATTGCTTGCCTTTATGGCATTCGCCTATATCTCTAGTAACTCTGTCTCTCTCTCTGTCCCATAGGCAAGTCATCTGTGGTCTCGGAGCTTTTGCCAGGCTTTCAGATAGGGCACATGGAAGGTACATGCCTTACTAGATTGGGGAGAGGGGGTAATTATGCTACCATTTAGCTTTTATGCAGAGCACATTACTCATGGATCATGATTGAGACAGGGTAGGAGGCTGTGAGGCGGTGGGAGGAGAGAAATAGCTTAAGGTGCTTTAATTTGCTCTTTGGGAGAGTCTTTGTTCTGGGTCTGTACAGCACCTGGTGCAGTGGGGTCCTGGCCTGAGTGTGGGGCTCCTAACTGCTACCATAATGAACATAATAGCAGTAAAACGTACAGTGCTTAGCATGACGTGCCGGGCCATGACTGCAGTTCCCAGGCACTATCGTTATACCAAATTATTGTGATGTAAGTAGTAATGATCGATTTCTGAGAGCACTGGTAGAAATGCATTTCCTGCAGAACGGAAATGACGGTGTCCCACATTTGGCTCCGGTATGCTGAAAAATACTATATCCAAGCGCTTTGTTGCAGCATCCATATTTCATTTGGTAAGAGAGCCATAGGCTTATTCAACATGCTGTAAGTCTGAACAGCAGGACTTTATGGAAAATCTGTATGTTCCTGCAAAGCACTCTGATGTCAGCCATGTGGCATTTGCTGATGGAAAACTGTTCTGTTTGAATATTTTCAACCTGACTTTATTCCTTAGGGCAAGGATCAAAGGGGCCATACTCAAGATGACAGCCCTTCAGAGCTGCTGTATCTCCTGGTGCATTCGTTTTGAGTGTTTAGCTTGCATCTCCTTGTGGTAGAGCTTAGGACAGAGTTAATCATGTCCCCTGACTCCCAGTCCACACCCTGCTCCCCTTCCAGAGCTCGGGATAGTACCTAGGAGTCCAGCCTCCTAGTCCCCACCCCCATGCCCTAACCCACTTGACCTCGCCCCTTCTCCTTTGAGTCTACAGGGTATTGGCCTGATGGAGGGCGTCAGATCCTGGTGGTGATCTCCTTATCTGGTTTCCATCATTGTCCTAACTAAGCATCTCATGATCTTCAGTGTATTGATCCTCATGCTATTTTAGGCATTCCTTCCCCCTCCTCATGCCAGGGACTCTGCTCCTTCCCACCCTCCCCCGACCTCGCCCCTTCTCCTTTGAGTCTACAGGGTATTGGCCTGATGGAGGGCGTCAGATCCTGGTGGTGATCTCCTTATCTGGTTTCCATCATTGTCCTAACTAAGCATCTCATGATCTTCAGTGTATTGATCCTCATGCTATTTTAGGCATTCCTTCCCCCTCCTCATGCCAGGGACTCTGCTCCTTCCCACCCTCCCCCATGATC